TTAAAATGTAATGATTTATGTTATGGTGACCTGCTTTTTATCCCCATAAGGAAGACAAGTCCCCATAATGTGACTGTGTAAACAGATTTAAGTCTCCACAACATACCTGGACCACAAGCACACACATAAACACAGGAGTACAAAGAGGAAGCTCATGATTTCAATGGTTATTTATTAAATGTAAAATATCTTTAGCACAGATTAAAAATCAGACACCTCCATCTATTTTAAACATCACAGGTTGAGAAAAAAAAACATTCCCAAAACAGAATCACAATCCCTTTGGAGTCCCATGTTTAGGATAGCTAGTCCACGAGGCTGGGCAGAGGGCTGAGGCAAAAACCGCACTCCTCCTGATCCTCGGCTTACACGCCAGGAAATACTGTCTAAATGCTGCCGCTGTTTTACACTAGATTGTAGAAAAATGTTTTTTGATTCACCAAGTACTGATGAGATTCATGGATTTTAGCAATCACAGATCTGATTATATAAAAAAATCTGTAGTTCACATGTTTTCTTAAAACCGGACAGTGACTAAAACAGGGCAAAGCTCGGTGCTTGACCAAACTTCCAGCAGACAAAAATAATTTTTGGTTCTGACCAAAAAAAACGTTCCTTGGGCCAACTGCATATATCTAGTGTCCCTCAAGTGTGGACATACACTGCTGTGATCTGTGGTTTATTTAAATAGCAAATGGCTTTGTCCGTTTTGCCATCATTTAGCACTGCACTGAACTGGAGTGCCGTCACAGAGGTCAGCTGGTGAGTGCCCCCTCTCTCTTGTCTGCTCTGCCTCAACCCTCGCTGCTGTACAAATGCCAACTGACAACAACTGACACAGATGGTGAGCAGAAACACAGAAGGACAGGCAAAGGAAGAGAACCACCCACAGGAGTAAGAAAGGAAGGAAGACTCTACACACACTGTCCAGGAGAGGATATTGCCTGACAATATTATCAACTCATTTATTTTAAACCTTTTTTTTTTTTATCGTAATCTTTTCTTTTTTTTCCACTTTTTTTTAAATTATTCAGTTTTTTTCATGCCATATGAGAATTTGGGGATTATAAAAGTACCTGAAAGAATTGCTAGGTTTTCAGCATGCATAGCTGTTTGTATTTACAGGTTCATATATACAGGGATGGGCCAAAAACAGACTGCTCTACAGTACTGGGTTTATTTACATCCAAGTCAGAGGGAGAGGTCAGTGTCGTAACTACAGATGTGGGGGTGGAGGGTCACATGCATAGGATCAGAAAAATGCTTATACGGCTGAGAACAACTTGGATGAGGAAGACGCGGAACAGAACACGGCAAAGTAACAATACGGTTAATTTAACATCATCACATCCACCTTTTTGCTTTTGAATACGAGCTTTCAACAACTGATTATTGCGTAACACTTTACAAGGACACATCTATTGCAAGTTCATGAGGTCCTCAGGTTATGAGTCAATACTGAGATTGGAAGACTTGGATCTGATCCCAGAGCAGTTCCAGAGCCATGGTGGTGGAGCGTAGGCTCTCTGCTGCTTATCTACAGTCAGCTTATTGCAGTGTGTTGTAAATTTATTTCCTCAGTATTTGGGTGTGTTTTTATGACCCATGAAAGCAGATGAACACGAAAGTGAGTAAAATTTTACTTTCCTCACTTTACTCTGACCTGCTCCTTTGGTTCAACATATTGCTGTGGACTTTATGGGTGATTTTTAGCATAGAGGATCATTTTAGATCTGGTGTTGATCTGGTGCACCTGTCCCATCTTCTTCCCTCCCCAAATCAGGGGGTAGCTGTGTTTTCTTTTGGAGGAATGTCCAAGTGTCCAAGTCTCAAGTCATTCAGGACAGGTCCTGGTCTCGTCTCATGTCTTCATCTGAGTCTTTCAAGTCTTTACCGGAGACTGACTGTGCTGACCAATTAGCACTAGCTCTAGAGGAGCTTTTTTAAATCATTGTCAAAAAAACCTATAGGTGTGAAGCTAAAATGCTGAAGTCAAACCCTTTTCTATTTAAGAGATGCTTTTGAGGGCCTACAATGAAATATCTGAGGTGGGTATGTGTGAGTGGCTTTCTGACCAGGCCCTTTGCACAGCAATAGGCGGGGAACCACACGCTCACAATGATGAAGTAAATACACTTTACTTACTACTTAAACTAAAAAAATCTTTGCAGCCTTCAGCATGGACATTTGCTGGATATAGTTTTTTCTCAGATGAGTCCACGTCCCGCCCCATATTTCTGCATCTGAAGTCTGAGTCAAGTCACAGTCGACAGCTCTGGATAATTGAGAACAACTCTTAAACACCACAGATGTTTTTTTTTCTGAGGAAAGATTACGGTACACAAGGTCATGATTCACATTTAGTTGCAGAAGATAGAAAGACACACAGTAAAATCCATCAGTTTGTAAACAGCTAAATTTACAGGCATAATCTACAGTTTCACATGGGACGGAAACGTCTGTCTCACCAGAGACAAATTTGACACACACTGTGATATTACCTTTCACGTAGATTGTCCCAAGTGTTAATTTGAGAATACGTTTGTTAGCATGTGTAGATATGTAATTGCTTGTAGTTGTGTAATGTACGTGTATCAAGGTTGTTGGGCATTTTATGTTGTCCCCCCCCCCCCCCCAACCCCCCTGCCTCAAACACGGCATGCCTCCTATCTACAAACACACAATGATAGATGGCTGTGGTGGGTGGTTGAGCATGTTAATGTCTAATCTCATCTGCCTTATCTTCTACAGAGGTCGCAAGGTCAAGTGGTGAGGGGGGATGAGCTAAACACCAATAAGATAGCACATTGCTGGACACACCGCACCAACGGGCCAAGTTTACGTTGTGTGCACGTACCACAAACTGTACTGCAGAGAAGTAGAAGTACACACTTTTGCTTTTCACTGAAGATTTTTCAAAAATATTTCAGACCTTTTGGGAAAAAAAAGTCCCAAAGCCTTCATTTTAAATTCAGCCACATAAATCTGGATTACGACCATGGAAGTTTTTTATTGGTATTTCAACTGTAGAGCAGGACCAGAGTTTGGTAACTGGACACAAACAGACTGTTCTAAAAGTCAGCCAAGTTCAAGGGGGCGTCGGCAAATCAGAGGCAGCAGCACTGAAATCTTCAGTGGAGTTTGAAAGGCATTTCAGACGAACTAAATCAGATGCCCTAAGCGGGGGGAGATGAGTTAAACTGAGCGCGTGTGAACCTGCAACTCGGAGACACTGCTTGGCATTTGTCTGTCTTTGATATGGCGGCATGTGATGTGGATGAAGTTATCGCCCCACTGGCAGGTGAGACAGACAGCGGCGCACAGAGAGATGCTGCCGTTTCATCTGCTGTTTACCGGCTCTCTCATCACACTGCACTTCAAACACGCTCAATCTGCTGCTGCGACGTTACACACCACGGCTCCTCCTGGTGGAAGTTTACTCTGAGCTTAAAGGGGCTTGTGTGTGTGTGTGTGTGCGTGCATGTGTGTGTGTTGAGAAGATTATTTCTTGGAATCTGATTTGTGTGTTTTTTGTTTAATGCATTTGCATTTTGTGCATATTTCTGTACTCATGTGTTGAAGTATCGATGCTCTGGACCTCGATGGATCTTTCCACTTCGTGTGTTGCTCTTACAGCTGCTTTAGGAAGCTGTTCAAACAGTTGGCATGTAACATGGCTCCATTATGCATGTGTGTATGTTTGTGTCTTGCCCATGTTTGACGACTGCACATATGGGTTGTCTCAGTTAGAGCCAGTGCTCTGTGCGAAACATTAGTCCTCAGTCGTCACATCAGTGTTCCCTCTCACTCTCCCTGCCACCCCCCCCTCCCTCTCATTGGGAGATAAAGAGGCGAACCATTTCATGTGGCCGTATAGAAGTCATCTCCAGCCTTGGAGTTTGCAGGGAAGCTGTCACAGCAGCTTTTAGCCGGAGCTGCAACATGAAAGATCCCTCTTTGAGCAGTTGGGTTATGTGTGTAATTCTCTCGGACGTGTTTATTCTGCTGCCGTTTCAGCTTTCATTTTCAAATGTCACAGAAATCTCTCTCTCCTCCAAGAATATCCCCACTAATTACTGACTGACGGGGCAGGGTGTAAACTTAGCAGGTTGCGTTCAAATACTGTTTCACTTGTAGCGAGTCTCAGCTTTAGACGACATGAAACAGAGACATTTTCCGGGTTGAGACTCGGCCGATCGTCAGATTTAAGCTCGCCTTTAAAATGAGAGCGGACTGAGAAACAGCTGGAGGGAAAGACTTGTAGTGTGCGTGTGCGTGTGTGTGTGTGTGTGTGTGTGTGTGTATGTATTTTACGTGAAAATACCACTTATCTATAACCAATCAACTTCTGATTCAAACACAGAGATACAGAATTGTTTCCATTTCCAGTGCTTACTCTCAACTCTGAAGAGTCTGGCGGAACTCATATGCACATCATGTGAAAATATACATATTCATGACATTAAAACCTGCTCTTTTACAATTTACATAATAGTCATCGTTTCCACTGTGATTCCCATCCACACAGGAGCTGGTGTAATTTCCTTGTCCATGCTCTCACCTGTTCCACTGTGAGTCTTTACATCTGTAGCATTCACATGGTCCCATATAGCCAGAGGTCCTGTACACACTGGGTAGAGAAATAAATAAATAAATATATGCATATAAATATATGTACAGGAAGGGGTTACGCTGTTCCCATGGTAATATGACCCAGTCATCATGGGCTTCAGGGGGAGGGGAGTGACGGCATTATTATTTTTTTTTTCCTGTAGACACTCTGTCCTGTTGTCTCTTTTTGTGTTGTGTGTGTTTGCAGAGGACACAAGGATTTAGTCGCGTTGCAGTGTTTGTTGTTCGTCCTCTCTTTCTCTGGACAAGACATGTCCTCATGTCCGTGTGTCGGTGGTTGAGTTCCCCGAAATTTCTCTCCTCCTGCAGGCTGATTCCACCTGGACACCCGCTGATCTTGTCTCTCTTCTCTGTTCCTCTGTCCGCAGCAACAAGGGGCGGCCACCACGGTGTACTGCGCTGTGGCCCCGGAGCTGGAGGGGCTGGGAGGCATGTACTTCAACAACTGCTTCCGCTGCCTGCCGTCCATGCAGGCCCAGGACCAGAGCAGCGCCGCCAGTCTGTGGGAGCTGAGCGAGCGCCTGGTGGCAGAGACGTCTGCGGGAATACAGGCCCTCTGACGGACATGAGGACGAGGAGCAGGATGAGGAGGAGGAGGGGGACTAGCCAAAAAGTAATAAAAATCATGGGGACGTCCAGTTAGATATAAACTGAAGAAAAGATAACTGCACTCTGACTGCACTATACAAGAGCTGCCATCACGTGACTACAGGGGCTAAAACACACTACATATACAGTACGGGGGGAGGGGGGGTCCATATACACTCTATTGAATAAAAATCTGTTGTGTTCAGCTCTGTTGTGGTACATTACAGCGGGGGGGGGAATTCAGGGGTCTTACAGTTTCTTCTTTCTCTCTTTTATAAACTTAAAGGCATCTGATTCCAGTATTAGTGAATATTCTGTCTTTCCAATTATTGTCTGTGTTTTCAGTTTCCTCTTGTCTAGCTCTACGTAGATGATGATGTTTCTTCTCCAGATACAGTGAGAGTTGTTTAATCATTGTGCTAAATCTTTTTTGGGCTCAAAAGAAATAAGGAGTAATGGGCATGTGACACTTATGGATATATAAACACACTAGAAGTAGGATCCTTATGGCTATATACAATATTCTGCAATAGTTTCATTTCTTATCAATGTCCCTATTCGTTTACTGTACAATATTTACATCCTGGTTTCGGGGCATGTGCTAAAAGGGTGTGGACATCATATTTTTTCTGTTCGCAATTGGACTCAGCCTAAGTATTAATAATCTATACTCTGGTAAGTCTTAATCACAATTTGGAGGTATTTACGGGATGACCTGTGTCCATTTGAATACAGATGGTGGAGAATCTTATTTCCAGAGTCTGTGATCTTTAATTTCTGTGTTTCCTCCCTTGTTGTTTGACCAGAAAAATATGGGATTTCAGTCTCTTGGTTTTTTTTTTTTTTTTTTCTTCATCGTTGTATTAATGTTGAACTCTGGCTTTGGGTTTGTTTCTCTGTTTGGACGCTTTTGAGACCTTGTGCTTTGTGGCAGTCGGGATGCCGTAGGTTGCTCTTGAAACATCAGCGTTCCAGTGTCATATCTGTAAAAAAACAAACAAAAAATATCGTGAGATAAGAATCAGTAAGTAACATGTATGTGAAATCTTTTTAACCACAGAAAGTGAAATGTCCATTCATGTGCGCTCCATTGAGGGAGATGTATGTGTAGAGAGCTGATGACTAAACAACACTGGAGCCACGTCGCTGCCACAGTTTGATGATACAAAATAAAAGTATATCATTTTTCTCTTTGCTTCACTCATGTGCTTTATGTCACAACACTGAGCCTGGAGGTTCTGTGAGCAGAGCGACGAGCCGAGATGACGGCACTCAGAGCTCAAACCTCCGCCAAGAAAAAAAAGTCCCATTAGATTCAATCAAGCTGCACCAAATTGAACACACTTATAGAAATCCTCCCTAATGGCACCTGTTTTTTTGTTTTTTTATCAAGATCAATATTCCTTGGACAATCAGTCTCAAAGTCAAAAAACAGCCCGTCAATGACCCGACCTATTCCACATTACCCAAGTTTCATGGTAATCTATGGAGTAGTTTTTGCATAAATAAACAACCCAACAAACAACACAGATAGAGGTGAAAACATAAGCTACTCCGCAGAGGTAGTTAGACAAGTGTTCTTCTATTTCACACAAACACTCCCCTGTGCAGACACACTGACATGTTCAGTCAGAAACATGCAGAGCCTTTACACAGCTGTGGCCTGTGCAGACACCGATACCAGCGTCCTGCCCTGTTTTATCTCTACTGTACCCACACTACAGGTGTCTTATCACTGTCCTTTCACAGTGCAGGACATGCCTGGAACACAGACACACGTACGATCGGTGAGAACAGCCGGATCCCACATGTACACAGTGAGAAAAAAGTATTTCATATAACTGCCTTTAACGTCTCACCGTGAGAATTGTCCACTCATGGAGCCTATTTTCACCATGTGCATGTTCTTAGTGTGCAGGCTGCTGAGCCTCGTCACCAGTCTCTTCCTCCAGCATCTGTCTGTATTTCTCAGTTAGCGTTTAGCATGTCAGCTGTTTAGTTTCCCTCCCTCTGCCCATCTCTCTGTGCTTTGTTTTTATCTCTGTGGTTAACGGACACAGTGCTTGACGACTTGCCTCTCGTTCATCAATTCAACACACATTCACATGGCTAAGCAGCAACTCTGGGTTCAGTGTCTTCCCAAGGACACTTCAACATTTAGAAAGTGCCAAGGATCAAACCGACAACCCTGCAATTAGTGGACAACCCGCTCTTGACTGTGTCACTCCAAGAATAACTAAGGGAGAATTTCTTGCAATGTGTCACACTTCACTTCTACTGAAATGGGACTTTTTCAGAGCAATTCTAAAGCAGATACTGTTTTACATTCTAGAGTCAAACTGGGAATAAAGTCAGCACAAGAATCATTTAGAAAAGAAAGAAAGTGAGCTAAAGTATTATAACACTTTCTGACTTCACTGCAGATCAGCAAACTGATGCTAAACTAAATCTGTCTTCTCAGTTCTTCGGTCAAATTTTGACCTGGCTGAAGTCAGAATAGCATTTCAACCCATGCACTTAGTATACCCAGATTTCATGAGGTGAATTCTAAGAAGCAAAGCCGAGCTTACAGGCTTGTCAATGACGGCTCTATAAACGAGGAGCTATAGAAAACAACGTTTGAGGAAGCCCTCGACTGAACTCAGGACACAAAGGAAATTCTTCAGGAGAACAAACAACAAGCAGACGTCTGTGTGGCTGGATGCTGCAGTGGCCGATCCATGGGGCTGTGTGTGTGTGTGTGTGTGTGTGTGTGTGTGTGTGTGTGTGTGTGTGTGTGTGTGTGTGTGTGTGTGTGTGT